AAAGCCCGCTTGAATCGTTGCAGTCGAAATCTGTGCTGTATTTAGGAGGCAACTCGTTCAGCAGGCCATAGTATCGCATTGCCCCTAACAATAAGGCTACGTAGCCGGGAATATTTGACTCAAAGTAAAGCTCTGCTCTGGTCGGCTGTAGGTGTTGGATGGTGAACCTTCACCCATCTTTGTGACAAGGCAGCATGTTCGCAGTGAGTACAAGTATATAAGTTGCGCCAATCTGGGGAGGCAAAGTGTGGGACCATAGTGGAGATTTCTCGTCTTCCTCTATATCAAAAGAATCTATTGACAAAAATGATGATACATCAGCTGGTACTGGATTCGACTGAGGAAGAAAGTTGAATGCAGCAACCATCGTAGAGAAGGATTTTGTAGTGTTTTCGATGAGGTTGCAAACTGATTCTTCACGAAAGCTGCTGGATACCTGCACCGCGGTGATGACCATTGTCGGCTTTAACTACCTCTGAAATTTGGCCGAAGCCATGCGTAAAGTTCACCCAGAAAGTGCTCTATATTGAGGTTCACCACCTCACGCATATCTACATGCAGCGAAGGATTACATATCAGAAGATTGCGGACTCAGATTGGGGAATTTCGCCCACTTGTCGTACTCGCCTGATGTCGTGATCAGCGCCACGACCTTGAGTAAAGAGCTTCAATGGCAAGCTAGCAAGAGGCAGGGCAAATACCTCCATTTAAACATCGCGCCGATCTTAAGTGGCTCGGGACTTAGTCGCCTGCGCCTTCACCTCGCCCACCAACCGTAGCCACGTCGTCACATCATTGCATCATCATCGTGGACGGTCGCCCTTATTCGCCTCTCCGGTTATCGGTTATTCGTCGCTGTATTTTCTGTCATCTTCATCACGCGATGAATGTAGCACACCTAATATAATTAGTACTAGTAGTCAATTGCTTCTTCTCTCTTCAGATTCCTAATTAGTCATCATTTGATGAGTTCGCACCTTAGGTTCTCTAAATTTAGTTCAATAGCCTTCTTATAATCGCAGGTCGTAGTCATCGTAGTTTTTGTAGTGATTTGTAATCGTAGTCCCTCTTTTCTATTTGATCTATACAGGGGAGGCCAAAAAAAGAGTCACTTTGCCTATGGCGCATATCATCAAACTTTTCGTCGCAAAGGATGCCGCTGTTATTGGGAGTTATACGGCAAATTATT